GGATATGGAATGATAAGGAAAAACTTACATAAAAATGTGGTTCCACCTGGCTGGTGTGGCTCAGTGGTTGAGCACTGACCTATGAACCAGGAGCTCACAGTTCCATTCCCAGTCAGGGAACATGCCTGCATTGTGTGCTCAATCCCTAGTGTGGGGCATGCAGGAGGCAGCATGATTTTCTCTCATCATTGATGTTTCTCTCTCTCTTTCTGTTTGTCTCTCTCCCTTCCTCTCTGAAATCAATAAAAATGTATTTAAAATAATGCAATGCCATGATAAATCTTAAAATGAGGAATATAATTTGAAGGAGAGAATTTCAGTAACAGTGTCTATAATGAACCATGTTGAGGAAAACCTGGGAGGGGAGTTGGATGAAAATTCTTGACTCAGCCAAGTATAATACATACAGCCTAGAGGAAGCTGCAAAGACAGAAAGAAAGAAAAAAAAATACAGCTTTTGGAACCCTTTTTCTTCTAAAATGAATTCATTTATAAATTGTTACTTTCTAAATCATATTAAATTTCTTTCTCTGATTTCAAGCCCTCACTGGCCTTTGCTTTCCCATCAGCCACCAGTAACTCCTGCCTCCTTCCCACCAACAGATCCACCAGCTAATCTTTTTCTCATCAACTTCCCTCTCCTTCAGCTTCGTTATTTTATGTACTATTCAACTTAAACATTATAATGTATTTGTTATCATTCAACTTATTATATATTTATATATTATTCAGCTTCATTATTATCCAACTTATTTTCAAACTAATCTTTTTATGTATTATTCTTCCTCTTCAGGGCACAATGGATTGCGAAAAGCATGACATTTGTTTTTCTTCACAGAAAAGGTCACTTAAAACACTCTCTCCTATATATTTATTCCTCAAACATTTTTTCCTATAGCATATGAGTGCATTAAAAATAGAAACGATATTATCTTTCAGTTTGGCATGAGGTCTATTAGACTGCAGACATTCAAAATAAAATTAAAATCAAAACAATACTGGTTTGATTTATGATTAAAATGCAATAGCTAGAAACTCTACCCATATTTCTCTCAGATAATTGACCTTTTATTTTTATTCCCTCTTCTGCCCAGAAAGTTTTTTTTTTTTTCTTTCTCATTGAGGGGAGGGTTTAATTTGTGTCCTCCGAAGTACTTAGCATAGTGACTTGAATGTTCTGTGCACCAGTATATCTTTACTGACTAATGGGCTCCAAATTAATTTTATTTAATGCAGAAACAAAGGAAGTTAAGCCTACTTTCCAATACTAACATTCTTTATTTTTTAAAAATTGTTTCAGTCTGGCCAGTGGACCATCTCATTATTATTGCAAGTTCATGTTTTTGGTTTTTTTAAAGGAGGAGATGATTCATAGTCCCTTTTACACATGGAGAGTGACTTTTGTTCTGCTTCTGCCGCCCTGGCCGCTATAATTTCCCTGTGTGCTCTGAACATGAAGGTGCATACCGAAAAGAAAGCCAGAAAGATAAACTGACCTATAATGATTACTTAATACAACAAAGTGTATCATTTTCACTAAGCAAATGCGAGGGCTTTATTTTTCAAAAATTACATATCCTCCAACATTCTTAAATCTCTGTACAAACACCCTTGATTTATGTGCCCTTTACGAAAAGATACTAGTACTTATGTGAATTTGGCTGGGCTTAATAAAAATTCTGATAGAGTTACAGTAGCAATAGCTCTGGTTGATCTTCTCCAGAAATGACATAAATGAAATTAAACTTACTCTGCTTCCCAAGTGTTGGCCATGTTTAATTGTTTTTAAATGTACAGAACATGCTTTATTATTTACGCAAGGGACCAAGATGTATAGTGAATGTTTTATTATTTACAGGAGGGAGTCTTTAGAAACTGATTCACATAAGTTAATTGTATTTGAAATGTTTATTGAAGCACAAGTAAAGCAATAGAAAGTTACCAGTTGTTTTTTTTTTTCTTTTTCTTTTTTTCTCTCTAAGAATTCATTTTAAATAAAAATTTGGGAGGGAAAGTTATTACATCGTCTATATATAAAATAAAGGATGAAATGGAGGTTTTTTTCAGCCTCAAACATTGTATATGCCAATGATAACCTTCGATCTGGTCAAAACGCATATTTTTGTAGTATTGCCTTTTCAAATCATATAGCTATTTTTGGCATTTTGAAAGTAAATTAGCTGAAATGAAATTTCTTTATTTTTAAATTATTTTAAAACATACTCTCTTTTTTTGTAACTGCACTTAATTTCTATAGTTTCATTAACAATTTCTTTTTTTTCCCTTTTTAACTCTGATATAAGAAAATGGTTCACTTTCTCATCAAAGTTCTGATAGGTTAGTGATAGCCAGTTAGTCACAAATTATAGCTTATGGCTACACATACACTCATCATTTTTTTACAGATTGTGATCTCTACTGTTTATACAGTAGCGCCCTTTAATTTCAGCAGCATATATATTCTTTAACATTCAGTGTGCTGAAAACACATATTTAACTTTATTAGATGTTTTTACCAGAGTTTAGGTAATTTTTTCAAATGATAAGTTATACGATATGAGTTTCTTATACTAATAGTACATACCATGTAGTCTTTTTATGTTAAAATGTATTAATTAAAAATGCATATTATATAAAAACATAATGTGTGATGAGATTTGGGGTTTTTTTCTTGTAGTAAAAGTTTATTTTTTAGAGATACAAACTGAAATATTTATAGGTGAAATCATACGATCCCTAGAAATTGCTTTAAAGTAATACAGGGAGAAGATACATGGGGTAAAGGTAAAATGAGATTGATTGGCTGTGTGAAGCGGATGGTGACCACATGAGTGTCCATTACTATTCTACTTGTATATGTATTGATATTTTTGATAATAAAAATATAAGTTTTATAACTTACATTATTTTTAGAATATTTTCCTCTACATTTATAATGCTGTTAAAAATCAACAGTATTCCAAGTATTGAAACAGGGCCCATATCTCTGACTAAACTGGAGTTTTCTCCTGAATCCCTTAATGTAATTAAATTTTTATTCACCTAAGATGATGACCTTCTACATCACTTATTAATTATTGGGTTAAGTCTTTTCATCATCTATGACAGTGATTTTCAAACTTTTTCATCTCCTGGCACACATAAGCTAACTTACTAAAATTCCTCAGCACATCAAATCATTTATTTTTTTGTCTATCTGACAAAAAAAAAAAAAAAAAAAAAAAAAAAAAAAAAAACGACAACAACCATGATGGCAACTGTTGTGTTGGTTATTGTCATTTTTTACTTGACAATCTGAGGGAAAAGGGGTCCGTGCCCCTGACTAAATAGTTAGATATTGCATGTTTTAATAATACTTGCAGCACGCAGGTTGAGAATAGCTGATCTATGGCATTAGCTCTGTTGCCTCTCTAATTTCAAGTTTTCATGATCTATCTTTGGGCGGTATTAAATATTTGTGAAATGAGTGAGTGATTGAATGAATGCATCCCTGAATACTTCTCCTAATATGGCACCTTTCACACTGTTTCGTAATTCCTTTTCACTCATCCATAGCCCCTTTACTAATAGTAGAATCTGCACCCCACTAATAGTAACACCTACTCAGTTTCTACTGTTAGGTCCTCAGCAACTAGCACAGTGTCTGGAATGAATTAGTCCTTCAATAAATATTTATGAATGAAGATATTAATTAATCTATATTCTTACATTGTCTCCATGATTGCTATTTCCATTTTGGCTAATTCATTCTCCATGTCGTTTCTGGACAGATTGCTCTAAGCTCTCAACGTGATCACAGCTCACCCATTAATAGCTTTCCCTCATCAGGGTAAGCATTCCAGACATTTATATACAAAACCCATGGCCCCTTAGCATGTGGGTCTTGCCAGTAACTCGCTTCCTTCCTTTGTCTCTGTACTTCACCCCACAGACTATTTGTACTCCTTGTGTGTTTTATGGCCCCCTTCCTCGGAACATGGCTTCTCTCTGAGGACGTCATTCCCATCCACATTTAAAAAATATATTTTTATTGATTTCAGAGAGGAAAGCAGAGAGAGAGATAGAAACGTCAATAATAAGAGAGAATCATTGATCAGCAGCCTCCTGCATCCCTCCTCCGCACCACTGGGAATCGAGCCCACACCTCGAACTGTGACCTTGTGGTTCATAGATCAACGCTCAACCACTGAGCCACTCCGGCCAGACCCCACCCACATTTTAAGCCCGGTGCCCCTGGGGCACCTTTTCTAAGTTGGGAGGCTCAGGTGATCACTGCCCTATGCAGCGGGGAGGAGAAGTAATCACAGGTACCACACACCTCTGCTCCCAACACATTGACTCCCTCTGAACTGCTGACCACTGTTTCCTTCCTTTCATTTTTCTCTCCATGGACACAGAGTATTCCTCCAGCAGCCATTGCTTTTTATTCCCCTTAACATCCTTACTTTACTTGGCAGAGAGGAACCTAATAAATATTTGCAGAATGAGCAAATGAAGAATTTTTTTTTCTTTTTTGCTATACAAGTAATGAGTTTTCCATAAAAGATGTTAAATCAATAATATACTTACCAGTGCACCCAAAGGTTGTTTCTCACATTTGCACCAGGTTTGCCTCTATTTTTTTCCATGGTGTCATCAGCAAGTCAAAAGACAAACCCCAGAATCGTATAAATCTAAGAATAAAATGCTGAGGTTTGAAAAAAGACCTTGAAGTGAACAAAGGGGCCAATGGAAACATGATATTTAGTTTTTCAGAAGTTGAAGATTTGCTTACTAGTAGGAGTCATTCTGGTGATAATTCGAAGAAGGCAATGGAGATAGTTTCTGACATATATCCCAAAGCTCCAACATAACTGGACTTTTGACCCTCAATGTATACTTTGTAAAAGAGCCAACCTCATAAAAACAATAAAATGTTGGGAGTCAGATCTATTGTGTTAAGATGAGCCTTGTAGCTTAAGAAAGTCCTAACGTGTGGGTTTCCCCCTCTTTCTTCGCAGATATGTCATCTCCGACTACTATGAAGAAGCCTGAAAAGCCATTGTTCAGCTCTACATCTCCACAAGATTCTTCCCCAAGGTTGAGCACTTTCCCCCAGCACCATCACCCCGGGATACCTGGAGTTGCACACAGTGGTGAGGAGTTTTAAGCATTAAGGAGAAGCCTCCCTTTTATTTACAGAACCCCAAGCCCTCAGGGATGGAGCACAGTGGTTTTTGTTTGTTTGTTTGTTTTTTTAATTATAGCTAGTGGTGGCCATATTATCTCAACCCAAAGAGGGAGGGTCATAATCCGATCAAATATTTTTTCTTATTATTAATATATGAGGAAAGATGGTCAAAGCCATTCAATGAAATAACATTTATCCATGTATCTATCAGTTGCCTTTATTGGAAAGATTATAATGACAAGAAATTAGAAAATATGATAAATTAGAAAACATGGTCATCTTAACTATAGCTTCAGGGTCGGTCTTAATTAATCAGGAAAAATAAAAGAGATACTTTGATAATTATTTTATATGCACAGATTCTGTGAGTTAATACACTTATTGTTACATCTAATTTAAAGACTTCCTAATTTAAATAGGTAAAAGAATCCAACATTTTATATCTGCACTTTAAGGATCAGTTAATATTAAGCCATCTTTAATATTAAAAATGAGGTATAAATAATAATCAATATAAATAAGAAATGACCTTCAAGTTTGTGAACAGATGTGAGTGAAGACCATGATTAAGCTGAGCTGAGATTAAGAGCACTTTGACATGAAATGCAAAGATGTCCAGTCTAGTTTAGGTATTTGTATTTCCCTACATTATACTTTCAAACATGTAGACTTCTTAAATAATGTGATATTTTAATGAGGAGTTTTAAAAAATATGTAAGTACTATTGGCCCAGGACATGCAATTCATGCACCTGGTGTGTGTGTGGGGGAGGGGGGTGTCCCTCAGCCTGGCCTGTATCCTCTTGCAGTCCAGGAGCCCTCAGGGGATCTCTGACTGCCAGATTAGGCCCTGGGATGCAGGCCTAAGCAAGTAGTTGTACATCCTTAGCACGGCTAGAGCGGTGGGAGAGACTCCCACCACTGCACTGCACTGCCCTGGCCAGCCATGAGCCTGGCTTCTGGCTGAGTGGCGCTCTCCCTATGGGAGTGCACTGACATCAGGTGGCAGCTCGTGCATTGAGTGTCTGCCCTTGGTGGTCAGTGCATGTCATAGCGAGCATCCTTAGCATATCATTAGCATGTTATGCTTTGATTGGTTGAATGGACAGCTAGATGACTGGACACTTAGCATATTAGGCTTTTATTATATAGGATTCTCTGCAATGCTTCCCTTTGGTGGAGGATGCTCAGACTTCGATGTATGGGAAGATTACACAGGCCCTTGTTTCAGTGCCCTTTCTGCTGCCTCCCAACCTGGAAATCCTCATTTAGAAGGTCTGTGGTTAGGCCTAGTCACTCACCTTCATTGTAACAACAAATCTAGAAAGATTGTGAGTGCCCTGGACATTATTGGGGAAGATAAGCAACATCCCTTAAAACATTTTTCTTTTTTTTAATATTTTGCTCATAATTACAAAGTCAGAGGTAATCTATTCCAGATGATTTTCATTTATAGGTCATGGAAAGAATTTTTTCTTCTTCATATTGTTTGCTACATTGTCTCGTAAAACGCTAAACATTTTTCATATGTGATTTCCTATGATTTGGGTCGAAATATTAAATAGAAACAGATAGTTAATCTTCACTTCTACATACATTATACTGGTTGGTTCTCTTAATTTGTACTTACATGATTGTTTTAATGTTACAGAGATAATGATCATACAGAGATAATGATCATTCCCATTTTTCAAACTTTAGGCTTATATTTCAGAAGCTAAACAAGAAATTGTGGTCATACTAATGTTGAAAAGTTACAGAACAATTGAACATTTCCCACATTGAATGTTTTACATATTATTTCCCTCTATAAAATATGTGATTTATGGGTAAATTTATGTCTCTATGAAAGTATAAATTCACATTTCTGTGGGTCTTATTCTTGGTCTTATCTTAATATCTTTTAAGCCACATGTTGTAAAAGTTAGAGTGGGAAGAAAAATATTTAAAGTATAGGGCTTCTTTTGGTTATGAAAGAAATGTTTTTATTAGGAGAAAGAGCTCCCAGGCTCTATATACAAATATTCATAAGTACTTAATACAATGATGGGGTCATTATTCAGGACATCGTTGTTTATTAATCATGGGTTTTCATTTTAGTCAACTACCAGCTAGAATGCATAGAGAAAGTATGCATTCACAATTGGATTACACTTCTGTTTTGAATTTTGGTAGAAAATTGTGGCTCCCTTACCCTCTAATTGATGCTGTGACTTGGTCTGGACTTATATAAGACAAAGTCTTCCTAACCAAAATTGTGCTCTGATGGGGGATAACTTTGCTTAAAGAAATGTTTTTCGAAGTATTGGCTTGACCTATGAAAGAGAAACTTCTTTTTAAATCATTCATAGATCTAGAAAGCAAGATTGTTAATTTCCTATAGTGAGGGCTGTGTCTGTGTACGCTTAGCAGTACTGGCATTCAGAATAAGAGACTAACTGCTATTTTAGGAGCATTTGGTTAAATCGTGGGGGAAAATGAATAACTATCATTTTTATCATTTCACAGCATGCTTTAGGTCAGTACGGAGCATTAAAGAAAACAGCTAACGAGTCTGTCTTTCCTTTTCTGTCTTCTACAGTCATCTCAACTCGAACTCCACCTCCACCCTCACCGTTGCCATTTCCAACACAAGCTATTCTCCCTCCAGCCCCATCGAGCTACTTTTCTCATCCAACAATCAGATATCCTCCCCACCTGAATCCTCAGGATACTCTGAAGAACTATGTACCTTCTTATGACCCATCCAGTCCGCAAACCAGCCAGGTAAAAATGAGAGAGAAACTAAGATTAGAGCCTAAGGGAGATGGAGCAGGTGTGAGAGATGGCGCTTAACCCAGGCAGTTCTGTCTGGCAGAACAACAAGCTTTTGCCATCCGTCTTCGGGAAGTGTTTTGGTGATGCAATGTGTTTTTATTTAAAGGTGGCTGAATGACAGGTAGGAAGTGTGTTGCCCCCGAGGAGCACATTTGTGAAGGTGTTTTTGGTCTGGTGTTTTGGGATTTTTATTGACTGAAGAGAAAGCTTATGCAGAAAGTCCATTGACAAAAAAAAAAAAAAAAAAAAAAAAAAAAGTTCTGAGCGGGAGTTCACACCTCTGAAATACCTGGTTTGACAAAGAGACAAAACGCTTATTCCAGGCAGGAGCAAGGTATGCGCTAAAATAAACACACACAAAAGAACTTACAGTTGTATTCATAGACTAACTATTAGGTATTAAAATAAGCTTTGGTAATGTAAACATTCTCCGTGTTTGATGACTACTTGAATATTCTTTGCACAGACACGACTGCATTTAATAATGAGTGACATTACCAGAAGTGTCTTTTTTTTTTTTTTTTTTTGTAAACATTGTGCAGTGGTTTTAGGGATTCATTGTATGAGTGTAGTGACTCATGTGCCTTCCTCACTTCCTAAACATGTGGTTTCTTCTGTGAGCAGTCACTCCATAGAAATTTGGTATAAGAACGTTTTCCACAGTCAAGTAAACAGTCTTTGTGCCAAAGCTGGGTCTGTCAATAATCATCATGTCCCAAGTCTGTCATGCGATTCTGATCGTAGGATCCGGTGTTTAGCTTTGCTGCTGAAGACTCCTTAGTATACCTTTTAATGCTCTGAGGGATTCGTAAGCATCCTGTTAGTAATGCTTAAATATCCTGTTCAAATCTTAAAATGCCACTACGTAGTATGTGCATATTGATTTATATTTAACAAAGAAAGATCTAAGAAATAATCTTTAGACTTCATGTAATGGTTAAAAAAGAAGCAAAATGTCCCTTTCTGAATGTTTTATTTTGAATAACAACATGACTAGCACCATGGGGATGACTTAAAAAGTTACCTGTCCTTTATCTCCATTGATTAATAATACTAAGCTGAGTATACTATTTCTCACATTTTGAATTTGAAGTTAAACTATTTGTATTTAGAAGAAGATGTCCAAATCTTGTGGCACTTTTAATGGCAGTCATACTACTTACTAAGCAACACAGTGGGATCTTAGTATACTAGTTCAGAAATACAATTTGCTGTGAGAGCATGGATCCCAAGTCTTAGTTCCATAGAGCCTTCTGCCAGACTCAGCTGGGAACAGTACACACAAGGTCTGATTTTAATTTGTGTAGAATTTCCATGAATAACAAAGTCTAATTAAGACATCCATTAAAAGTCCTTAACGTTAATTCAGTGTGGAAAATCTTAGAGTTCCATTGGATTTTTTTTTTTAACTGATGTCTTAATTAGGTGCTGTTACGGGAAAATTATGCAAATTAAAATCAGGCCCTTTGTGTCACGCATTTCTTTAATTATTCAGTGCTTGTTTTACGTATATTTCAATTTCTTTATAAGTTGAGAGTGCGTATTAGGTGATAATCTGCCTATATTGTTCTCAGTGTTTCTTCATATTTTCAAGGTAAAGATCCAGCTTCTAAGAGAAGCATCTTACTCTCATCTCAATTAACAACAACAACAAAAAAACCCTCTCAGGATTTTGTATAATAGGAGCAGTGGACTAAGTAGGATAATCCTTTCCTAATGCTGTTCAAGTTCATCTTCAGATGAGATGTCTTTTCATATCTACAGTATGAAAGTTCATCTATTAGTGGCGTTAAAAGAGGAGCTTTCTAGTCTAGCTTCATCGGTTTGAACTAGTAGAAGACTGAAAAGAAATAACCCTCTCATTCTTCTGACCCGAAGTTTTAGAAAGTTGACTGTGTTGGCTTGGGAATTCTTTCTTTGTCAGGTTTACTATTATTTTTAAATGACACGTCTGTCGGTTCCTGTCGATTGAACTTCAGTAGACAGAGCTTGCAGAACGGGCAAGGTGATGTGCTCTGTCACAGCCTTCCCTTGACCTTATTGCCACTCTCCTGTCCCGTGCTCTCAGGTAGGTACTGCCCAGCGGTGCTGGTGAGCACAATATCTGCAAATGCTTTTTACCACTGAAAGGACCAGCAGTGATACTTTGAGACTGTATAGAAAGGGAGGAGATAGAGAAAGCAGGCCTTTGCAGTGTTCAGAATATCAGAAGTAGACAGTCTGCTTTAGAAACAAACTTTTCCCTGTGAAAGGAAAAATGCGTTTTTACCATAAACAGTAGATTTTTTTTTTGAAGAGACATTTTATCTGCTTTGATGTTTAACTCCACTTCAAAACCAATTAATTTACTTTCCAAAATAGACTCTTGATATTAACCTTTGTAGCTCTAAAAATGGAAAAGAAAAAAAAAAGTACTTGTTCACCTGCAGGCACTGAGTATCTTGTAGTACTGCACTGATTTTTAAGATGCTCTGTCCTCCCCATATCAATATGGGGATTCATTACATTGCTGCTGCAACCAATTAGAGTGAGACAATCACGCTATTTAATGGAATATTTTAAATAAAATTAGTTTAAATATATAAGTCTCATAGGCTTTCATAGGGAGAAACTCTGGTCAGTTTTCCTGACACAAAGTTAAATACTTAAAATTATTCGTGATGAATAGTCAGGATATTTGAGTTCATTTTCTTTATGGAATAAATAACATGGCCTCTGAGGAACCTGACCGGAGCTCTGGCTCATGTCTCAATGAGTTCCAATATTTAAATATTATGAGCTAGTCCTCTTTTTCTCGAAAATGTCTACTTGTAACTTATGTGCAGGTATTTAGATAAATATTCTGCTTCATTGCTTTCTTGCTTTTAGCAGTGCAGATTATTAGGATTAACCATTTGTAGAGAATACCCTCAAAGCAAATTGTTATGTACACTATGCCATGGAGAATTCCAACACGAATGTTAATTAAAAACAGTATTCTCTGTCTAGAAAAATACATCCAAGTATTTCTTCAAGCAGTGTACCTTTAGAATTTTGTCTTCTACCCAGATACTATTTTTGTACCCAGGGCTAAAGCACAGATAATAATATCTTTTCTGTCATTGCCCTAGGGATTTTCTCAGTTCATTCCCACATCTGTCAACAATACATGTTTTGTGTAACTCTCCATGCCCAACAATGGAAGAGTAACTCAAATAACAGAGTATATTTGGTTAACCCCTCTGCTTGACTTTAGCACATTTTCATTTACTATGGAAATCTTTTATTTGGAGGTATAAGGCCAGACCTAACTCAACATTTTATATCATTGTATGGATCTGGAATTTTAAATGCTCTAAATATCATTCTACCTGCTTATATTTGTAAATCATCAAAGTTGAGTGGAGATCCTAGAATCTAAATTGCCTGGTGTGTGTATGTGTGTGTCTGTGTGTAACTGTGTGTGAGCAAGAACTAGGGATTTTGAATGCAGAAGAATGGGTCTTGACTATACATGATAGAAATTACTCAGTTTGATGTGTGTGATAGCCTAGATATTCTTGTCTTCCTTGTATCAGTGATATTATTATTGAGGTGAAAATTGTGTCCTGAAAGCCCAAACTGATTCAGTGTAGAAGATGAGGGGCAGAGAAGTGCTGGTTCTAATTTGCACTAGCTCAGTAAGGCCTTCCATTTCTGCCTTGGGCTAACCATTGAAGTCTTCACTGGAGCTTCCGGGACTACTAAATGAAGGTCAGTTCTACTTGGCTCTTGGGAGTGTTGTAAAGACAGTTCACCTACATAAAGCAAGTGCTTTGAAGGCGAAGACTTTCTTTTAAATGCTGCTGCTTCGTATTACTACTAACCATTGACCGACCTCTCGGATGCAGAGTTGGAGAGCGTGCGTGGCGATTACACAACGGTGTGCAAGGCCCGCTCGGCCGAGTGTGCTGAGTGTCGTTGTAGGACGCCATGACTGCCTTTTGGATTGTTTCACCCGGCATTCTGTTTTTGTTTTGTAGCCTAACAGCAGTGGTCAAGTGGTAGGGAAAGTGCCTGGCCATTTCACTCCTGTCTTGGCACCCTCTCCCCATCCCAGTGCAGTGCGACCTGTGACCCTGACCATGACAGATACTAAACCCATCACTACATCCACTGAAGGTGAGGCAGCTTCACCTACAGCAACCAGTAAGTATTATGGTAGGAAATGAGAAATGTCCATCAGAGGCACCATTGGATACCTGATCCAAGGTGGGAAATACGGCAACTTTTCCAGCTACCCAACCGGATGGAGATTTCTCATTTACATGGAACCAGCAGGCATGTATGTGGCGTGGCAATCGCACGCTCTCTCCTTTCAAATTTAAGCCAGTGCCTCAGATTTGAAAAGGGAGAAGCTTAATTGTTTGAGTAAATGGCTATAACAAACAAACAAACAAACAAGAATAAGTCATGCCTGCTTGTTCAAGGTTTACATTGAAAATGCACTGATAACATAAGGCAGGATTTTCTATCACCCAAAGAGAGACTAGATGAGTGTTACTCATTGGAGCATTCCTATAGTAACCAAGCCCCTTCACACGGCAGACTGAACCAGTGCCTCTGTAAGATAATTGCACGTTTGCATCACTATAGGTTATGTCATTGTGAGAAATGTTTCACACACTGTTAGGTCCCGAAAACATCTCAAAGCTTCGAATTAAGCACATGTAAGCTACCCGCGCTTTCTTTGCCCTCAACAACAACAACAACCACAACAAAATTAAAATTTTGAAATCTATCATAATACATCAGGTATAAGTTTTTTAGCAGGCTCTTCACATTTTAAATGTCAGAAAGTTAGCCAGTGAGCTTACATAGCATATACCAGTAGCTCAAATGATTCCTTTGCTTCTTTGCATGGAATACTCATAACTACACAAGGAATTATTGCACAGTTTTTCAATTGGCTTTCTCCAGACTGGCAGCTTTCTAGACTTGGAGTTGCTGTGCACACATTGGTAGAATGGAAGGGATAAAGTTCCCGTCAGGAGGAATCAGCAAGTTCCTCATCCGTTACACATGCCGTATCTTAAATTCAGAGCTTCTTTCCTAGAACAGGAAAGTCCCCATGCTCTGGGAATTCCTGTGTGACATTACAGAGCCACTAGCGGCACCACTGGCTCTTTCTTCTTCTGCCATTGGAAAACCTTTTCTTTTTTAATGGTTTCTGAAACCTAGGAAGGACCCTACAAGAAAATTGGATAATACTTTAGAGTCACCAGTGAATTCAGCATTTCTTTCTCAAAATTCATGAGGCCTCAGACACTAATAAGTTCATAGAGGCAATTTTTCAGGCACTTTTTCATAATCCCCATCAATAATAATTAAATGCTTAGTAACTGGTTTGCTGGTAGAGAATCCTCCACTAGTAAACCCTTTCCAGAATGTACAGAAGGCTCAGTTTTCTTTTGTTCTGAAGGTTAGCTGTGTACAGTATAGTCACTAGAATAATACATCCAGATTTTAAAAGTGGATGCTTTGGCCTCTTTGAACAAACAGGCCAGAATTTAAATAAACAAAAATGGAAAACAAATATTTTTGTAAAAGCACTTGGAAGAATATCACAGGATATAAATGATCAAAACTAAGTTCCAGAAACTTCTGGTACCTACTCATACCAGAGTAGGTATTATTAATATTATTGATATTAATAGATGAGATTCCAGGAGCATTCAGACCCAAATGATGGCAGCTCACTTAGGGGAGTACAGTCAATCTGTTTGTTAATTGATTGTTCTTGTACTCACATACAGATTGATAAAAAAAAAAAAATCTGATTTGACTAATAAAAAATTACAGAATATTCAAAAGGCCCCACCAGTCTATTTTGCACTCTTGCATTGAAGAAGTAGAGTGTGATATTTTTCTTTCTTAGAAATAAATTGTAACTCCAGCTTCCCAGGCACCACTCACCATGAGAAATTGGTCATTGAATTGATAATTCAATCCAGTTAAAGGTAACACAGAGGACAAGGAAACCTTCTCATGGCTGAAAAGAACCCGGAGCACAGGCTGGTGAGGCATGGCTGACCCACTGTGCGCCGATCCAGAGACCTGCATCCTCACTAGGGGTCACTGGCTTCATATGGCTGCCCTCACATGGGCTCTTTATCCAGGAATAATTGAAAGGTGAATTGTGATCATCTTCACTATTCAAAAAGTTGACCTAAAAATGCCTGAATAGATCAAATTCTGCAATCCTTCTAATGAACATGGCAGAATGAAATATATTGGTGTGTTTTTTTAAAGCCTTATAAAAAGGAATGTCTGGAATCCTCATTAATCTGATGGTTTTAAACCAAACATCTTAGTTTTTTCCAGACCTATAAATGTAATATAAATGGTGAAAATTTAGTTGTTCTTCTGTTCAGCCTGACAGGGAGCAATGGGATGGCTAGAGATACATCAGTTCTTTCTTTGTGTAAAAGAAACAAAAATATTTAGGAATAGGCAGATTGTTTTTTTAGGGACAATTTACTCTATACCCAATAGCACCTGTACAAAGACTATTGCAAGGCGAGACTTAAAATTTGAGGAGTATTCGCCATATGAATTTATTATTTGGTGGCCATGTATTTACAAGTTGCCATCAATTCCAGTCACAAGAAACAGACTTGTTGTGCTTATGGAAAATAGAGAATTAAAACACACACACATTTCTATCAAACTTAAGATCATTTTCACCTTAAATGACACCCTGAGCTAATTCCTTCTATATGATATAATAAAAACAGTCTTCTCCACATTAGTAATGGTAGAGTTTCTTTTTAGTGAGACTTATAAGACATTTTTCTTCTCATATCACAAGCACACCTGCTTGCATCCAATCATTAAAAGCTCCCACTCATTCCTGACAGATTTTTCAGTCTGCTTTTACATTTAGAATCAGTGATCAGCATCGATCATCCCATTATTAGACAATCAATACCTGGGGAAAAGGCCCTCCTAAACAAAGAGCCCCCTGTTCAGCCAGTCCTTGGTTCTCTCGCAAGACTAGATGGGGCACGTACATGTGAGATGCCCATGCTGAACCAGGGGATACCATTTACCGTATTTTCCGGCGTATAAGACGACCCCCCTAATTTTACAGTTAAAACATAGGTTTAGGCCTATATTCGCTGTATAAGACTACCCCCCACTTCCGAGGCAACACCAGTTCTTTTTTTAATAGACCGCCTCTCTGACTGGCCAATCTGAGCAGGCTTTTTTTAGTTTCAAAAGTCGTCTTATACACCGGAAAATACGGTATTGGATAGATTTTTGGGGCAGGGGATAAAATAATTGCTTGAGAGGCCAGCTCCCATCTCCTGTATGTCACTTAGTGTTCTCTCAGACAAAAGAGAAGAGAGACAGAGACATCTCTTTTTTTTTTTTTTTTTTGGTTGCAAGTCCCACTCCTCTGGGTTTCTTGTACATGGACAGGGTGTTCGTTCTGCTAGTTCACCATTTTTATCTTTGTTTTTGTTCTTCCTTAATCAGCCTACACAGCCTCAGGCACATCTCAAGCCAATCGATATGTGGGACTAAGCCCAAGAGACCCATCCTTCCTACATCAGCAACAGGTGGGCAAGTTTCCCCCAGGTGTGATGGTGTAGCCATGCTTCCGCATTGGTGCTTTTCTCCACGCTCTCTCCGATCTGGACTCAGGACGGGGCTCCCGGGGCTTCTGAGAAAGAAATTGATCCTTTCACTTTCCAAATCATTTTCTCATTCATCCTTTGTTTCTTGCCTCTCGGAACAGGGTTTCTCAAATTGGCTCAACACCCTTTTCATCCCTGTAAGAATAACAGTATTTCAGGCAAATGGTAGTTTCCTTAGTCTTTACTGGCTGATGAGAAGGCACTAGCCTATGGTCTCTAAAGATAACATTTAAAAACTGATTCAAAAGCCAATTAGAGTCGAAGTAGTACACAATTTGTGTTTTCGAGCCCTTTCATATTTTCCAGATGTTTTGCAGTCCCTCCCCCCAATTTTGGCATTTTAGTCCAAGAAGATGAGTTATGAAGCTAAAATCTCAGGCGACACATCATTCCTATTTTAATAGGTTTAAATTGGTTTACTGATTTCAGATGTTATAAAACACTTCTTTTTTTCCCCCTTGCTTTCTTACATCATTTATGTTTCAAGTAGCATTTTAAATTTCACATCTCATTAATGCTGTAAATTTAATGCAAATGAAGTGTTTACCCAGACTATGAAAATATACAGCCAGGATTAATGGTGGCTTATAAACAAATTAGCCACAATCAAAAAGCATGGACCATACCCACACAGACATCCCACGATTCTAGTTATAGGATAACGGAAATCATTCTAACCACTTCAGAATTAAAATATATTTTATGATGCATATGTTTGCTGCGCTCAAGTTTTTGATAGCGGAGCAGTTTGAAATTAACGGTGTACAAAATATTACGTAGGGAAAAGTGGGCCATAAATGATAAGCTGATACTAACTAGCCTAGTCTTCGTGTATAAGTTGTATGTGCACACGTATGAGTTTTTACATACGTAGGAAGACTGCACAGAAACTCATTCTGGTTCCTTTTGATCTAGACCTGTCCACGTAGCTTCTGCTTATCATGCCTGACTTCACTTTGCTTCTGTGGCATTCCCAAGACCTGCCCAGTTGCAGACTAAGGTGCCAGACTGCATATTAAAGGTCACCCCATGCAGAGTTCAGAGAAAATCATAAAGATGATAGCTTATTTAAGATACTTGATGTTTTGCCAGGTTTAAAAAAAAAAAAAAAAAAAAAAGCAAAACAAAACAAAACAAAAGAGTGAGGACTAACTGAAAACATCTGTACACAGTTATGAAAATACCAAGTAATAATTAGTGGTTTTGCCAGCCATTGGCTTTCCAACATCATTCTCTGGAATGCTGCTTTTTTTCACCTCCAGAATTGCTATAATATGAAATGTGTTTTAATTACTATAATATGGTTCTATTTGACAAATGTATATGTTCATTATGGTTTTTTTTTTAAATGCAGGGTTTATAGGTTTAAAACTTGTTCTTTAAAAAATCATTCCACATATTTTCAGAAATATTTTTGTCATGGGATTTGCATTATTCTTTATTACACATCTCTAATTTCCAGTTAATTTTTAATTCAGAGGAATGTGCCTCCATTATTTAAACCTTTGGCCCTAAACACATTTAGAATATTATAATCAATTCCATGTACTTAGAAACAATCTTCCCCTCCCCCTGCCCTAACCTATTGGAAGTTTTAATTCTTTTATCATTTATGATTAACATTGGAGCCTCTTGTAATTATAATCAAAAGTTCATTATATATATATGTTACAGCTCCTTTCACATATACAAGGATAAATCAAGAATACTTAGCATGAAAACATGAGTCTTAATGTAGAGCACATTTTAATTGAATATATATATATATATATATATATATATATATATATGAGTTCCAGAACTTTTTTCATCAAAGACCACCAACTTGTTATTTAAGAGGAAGTGTCAAGTAAGACCCTTTACAATATAAGTATGATTTGTCTGATCAACTGTGGTTGGTATCTATGGAATATGTAATGTGTTGATCCTTGGAAGAAAAAAACGATATAAGCTTCAATTATAAGCTAAAACTATAATGTTCAATTTTATATACCATGCAGACAGGTAATCTGTTCTCTATTTATTGAAGGAGCTAGTGCTTTTTGGATTGACGAAGCTCAATATACCAAATTCGCATGAGCTACAATTTTGAGGCATGAAGAAAATGGATGTATATGCCTTTAATACTATACATGTATATTATTAAATGAAGGCTCCAGTTAAAATGCTTATTATTTTTATCCTTTCAAATTTGAAAAGAATCAGAGATGAATTTTATGTTTACTATCCAGGAACAAGAGAGTCAAAAATAGTCTAAATGACTTCAGTAGAGTAAAGGTTATTCTCTTCTACAGGAGAAATGAGATTGATTTACTGTGTCCTTTCATTACTTTACAAAGATTTAAAAGAGACCACTCTTCTAGCAGCAGGTTCTAAATGCATTTGGTTTAAAGTACTCAATGATGAATGAAAAGGAAAATCAAGGGGTACATGAAATAAAGGTAATCAATCATTTTATATTAGCTAAGAGAAATTCAAAATTAGAAAGGCAATGGTTTTAGTCTGAGAGGGTTCTTTTAAACATTCCGCATAGCCTTTAGTATACATGACCTCTTAAAAATAAATACTGTCACCAGGTACATTCTTCAGTTCATTGGCAGCTGCTTTTTAAAGATTTATCCTTTTAGATTATGAAAAGTATTGATGTGCATTGTCGAGTGCTATTTTTTTTCTTAGAAAATAACTTTAATATTCCCTACATAAATTAGAGCTAACAATAAATTTTAAATTGCTGAATAATGTTGGCTATCATAAACAATATTTCCACAAAATGACACTGACACAGAGCTTTCAGTGTAGTCATTGCATATTGATGTTCTTAAGTTGAGATGGAAAAATATTAAAATGAACCCCATATTCCACTTACAGGAGTAATACATTCATATTTGGGAATCTGAATACTAAAAGTATATGCTTTTATTCCCATTAACTGGGCACCCATACAGCTGCTATTAGGAATTATACATCTTTGATAATGGTCATTACTGACTAACAGTGGTTGCTAACTGCCTTGAAAAACTAGTTTTTTGTGGGGTTTTTTTTTCCTGACCCAGGAATTTCACCAATCACTGTAAATGTGATATTTCATTTGAACCTAAAAAATAAAATCACATAATCATAAAAAATATTTCAAAGAAGATAAATGGAAACAAGTTCATAATTTGACATAAAAACCAGTGCTAATTGGTCATAATAATAAGCTCATGCCAGCTGATTGGGGCTTTAAAATGTTCTGTTATCTTTTACCACAATTTTGAGTATTGTTCAAGGTCTGGAACTAGACTGTCTTTAGCGTGATTGGCTTAGTTCACACATTCCCTGTTGGCATGTGGGGAATTAAATCCAGGACTTCAATTGGAGCTTCCTTCTTCCTTAACTTTCCTGTTGGAAGGTGGTGTGGTGGCTTGAAAAACCCTTGGGTCCTGCTTTGGCAAACGGAACTCTTGAGTCTCTGCTGAGAAATGTCTTTTATGATTTGGAACTTTTTCAGGCGTGTCCAGGGCTCCTCCCTGACATAACTTCACAGAAGTTTAGGAGGATGCAGTGCTTCCTGTCCTACTACAGTTCACGCACGCACGCACTGTGAACATTCACTGTGACAGGCAGCAAAGGAGCTCCATTTCCCAAGTTCCGTCTCTGAGAAAAGGGGGACTAGATAGCAGAGTGATGGATGTTGTTTAGAAAAATACAGCAATTCTTTTATAACCCAGTCTAACACTCTTAGCACAAATGGTGAATATGAGACAACTTCCTTGAATTAGCACCAATGCCTTATCTGGTCAATCTCATAAAAATTTTGCTTAATTGCCAGATCTCTTTCTTGGCTGTCGGAGAGTTTGGTAATATATGAGGGTCTAATTAACCTGATTATCCACATTATATTTAAGCATAAGGCCATAATAAAAATATAAAGCTTTGCTATTATTCATCAATATGACATATAAAAAAACCTTATTGCGAGTTGGATATACAAGTGTGTGGCTAAGAAGCTTCTTGTTGGGAAGTCAAAGATTACTGTTTGAACCAGCTATTGAAGTGCATGTTAACCTTCGATACAGAGGTATCTATGGAGGTTACTTTGGCCTTCCCTAAGTGAGACATCAAAATCAAGTAAACTCTAGTTTATAAGGCTTATTTTATAATCTCAAAATTATAAGCTCTTGACTCTTAGACACTACTTCTCATTAGAGCTAATGACCGAATGGCCTGATAACTCAGGCCTTTGCGTTCCTGATCACAATTGCATGGATTTCCATGGTGCCTGAGCTTCAGCATTTATATCTCTTGCATGACTACATAATGCTACTATCCCAATTTCAATTACTGGCCTACCTTATAGCAAAATATGTTGGACACTTTTCTTGATATAATTTTGAAACTGGAATTTGAAAGTACTTTTTGTCCCACTGAAAATTTCTGTTACACCAAATGGCCCTTTAAATAAATTGCCCCTGTAGGATTTTTTAAAAAAATTAATATATTAGTTAGAACATAATATTTATCCTGGCAAATGAAATGGCAAAGCCAAAGTTAGGTACATGTAAACCACTGAAAGGTAGTTTGGTTATTTTTATGAGAGGCAAGCAATTGAAAGGACTCAAGTGGACTATCAACAAACGTTTCAATAAAGTCAGGAAGCAGGCTATCAACACTCGGGCTGTTCTTATTGTGTCTGTTATCATAATTGACAGCTTGACGCAAAACCCTATCATATGACTTCTGGGTAGGTATGTAAATGGATAAGAGGTCACTTTTCACATATGCTGGTTGGGAAGGAAACACATTTAAAGGAAGTTTCAGTCAAAATAATGGCTATGCAAATGTTTAGTTTTTTGGCTAGTTCTTAAATTAAACACACACACACACACACACACACACGCACACGCACACGCACACACATACACACATACACCCCTTCTATG